TTGATTTCCTGGGGTAAGTTGGCTTTGGTTGTGCGGTGCTATTTCCTCTAGCTGGCTTTGGAGTAGCATTTCAGAACGGCGCTGCAGCTGCTCTCTGCAGTCGGATGTCAGGCTGTGCCCGGGAGGAAGCTGCCCAAGCTGCCGCGGTCTCTGCTCTGGAAGTGTCCAGTAGGTGGTGCGACAAGCCGCAAATCCATCCCCAGGGTGAGGAAGCACAGGAAGGGCGGGTGTTCAGCTCTGAGCTCCAGTGTTTCTGTTTCCTCGCTTGATTTCCTGGGGTAAGTTGGCTTTGGTTGTGCGGTGCTATTTCCTCTAGCTGGCTTTGGAGTAGCATTTCAGAACGGCGCTGCAGCTGCTCTCTGCAGTCGGATGTCAGGCTGTGCCCGGGAGGAAGCTGCCCAAGCTGCCGCGGTCTCTGCTCTGGAAGTGTCCAGTAGGTGGTGCGACAAGCCGCAAACCCATCCCCAGGGTGAGGAAGCACAGGAAGGCGTGTTCAGCTCTGAGCTCCAGTGTTTCTGTTTCCTCGCCAGGTACGCGATCGTTCGCTTTAACCAGTACTTCAAAATGAAGCCCGAGGTCACCGCCCTGAAAGTGCCGGAGTAGAGAAGAGGCCTCGCCGCTCTCCAGGAGACAAGCCCTGCTGGGGGATGTTTTCTTAAGGATGGTAATTCGGTCTGTGTTACATGAGAATTATTTATTACAGATTTCCCTGACTGACTGCTTTCATCTCTCATCTGTTTGTTGAGTGTTGCAATGAGAGTGTTGTAGAGATTTTTTTTTTTTAAGTTTTGTTAATAAGGTTAATTTTAGGAAAAGACTGGTTGTTCAGTGTAACCTTTTAAAAGTCTTGATTCATTTTAAGTAAAATGAATCACTTAACCTTGAAATGCCAGTCACCGACTTGTGTAGATAACCTAGGATGTCCTGTAGAAATACTCGTTTAGGAGGGAGAAAGGCTCTCACTGTCTGTTGGTAGTACTCTCTTTTGAATTGGATATTGGAAGTAAAGTAATTTCTTTATAGGGGAATATACCTTAGAATTAAATTGTCTCTTTACATAGCCTGACAATATAAAATATGCTTACTGTATACTCCTGGAATATAATGATTTCATGTTAAATACATGTAAGTCATGTTTTCAAATGCTAAATGGTGGTTATTTAAGGTACTAGTTCCAAGTTTTAGAATTTTACCTTTTGAAATTATTCCTAACCAAAAACTTAGTTTTACCTAATATTGTTTTGTTTGTTAAATACTAGCTGGTATTGTCAATATTTGAAACAAATATACAAAGTTTATGATACTTGGAAGCAAGGAAGTACCGTTTAGGATGCTTCTTACTCAGTCATTCCTTTCAGTTTGGTTTTGTGTCCTTAGAGTGATATCAGATGATTACTTGATACATGTAATTTCAGAGTAGTATTGTTAAAGCAGTTAAAAGAATCACAAAGGATCATTTAGGTGGATGCTGAGTTGTGTGCATACAATCTAGCAAATAGGGGACTTGTGATTTAAGCAGAGGTGCTCACGGAGGAGGGCTCTGCACATCTTGTGTTTGTTCATTTGTATTTCCTGTAGGGAAATAGATGAAAAGAGGGAGACAGCTACTTCATAGCAGGAATTAGACCTTTGGGCTGTACAAGAAGGTTCCAGGCTTTGAAGACTGCTCTTGAACTTGAGCAGTCACGGTTGACCTGAAGTTAGTCTGACAGGTTTTGCACTTTGGTCATATAAGTACTCGTGCACAAATTTGACTTAGTGGATCTTTATATTTAAAGTGTGCAACCACAGCTTGATTATCCTCTGAGAAATCCTGTGTCTGCTGGGTTATTATTCCACATGACTTATTTGCTCAGAAAAGTGCTTTAAAATATTTGGATTATCTCAAGAATTTGAAAGCTAATAAGTAAGTAGAAACACTTATGGCCATTTGAAATGGTGAATTCTAGTCACCTAATAGACTCTTAAAATACATTTGTATCTTTAACAGTGTTAGACCAGGATTTGGTTTCTACCTCCCTGATGCTGTAAATGCTCTCCTCTCCTATTACATAAACCATATTACTGTAAGAGCAATACAGTTTTGCCTAGTTATCTGAACGGAACCAATTAAATAATTTATAGCTTTTTATGATGTTAAAGTGAACTTACAAAAATTGGTTTTGGTGGGCTTTTCATCTGTGGTTGAACATTATAGGATGATAAAGATGTGATACTCTTGATTTTTTTTTTTTTTTTCTTTCTGCCTTTTGAAACCCAAGAGTATGTGTCTTGTAGAACTGTGGGAGGAGAGAAGACAATGTTTCTAGCCTGCTTTCTGCTCTGACTTCAGACTGCTTTCGTGGAGATTCAGTGTCGGTGCTGGTGGGCAGCTAGCCGAGATACCACCACCCGAGAGATGCGAGAGATGAGACATGCGTGGCAGTGACCGTACAAGAAGCTTCTCCGCAGCCCTGGAAGTACCTGGGGAATCTTGGGAAAAGACTAGCTGTGTCACCTACTGCGCCCATTCTTTGGCTAAATTTTGGGTGTTCTGGTGTTCCTATTTCCCAAACAGGTTTTGGGGATCATGGTGTTAGACCAGCAGTAGGCTTCAAAAGTTGGATTGACCTTTTAAGGGATTCTCAAGAGGGGTAATTTTCAGCAGCTCAAATTCTTCCTTCTAAAATGTGCCCCGGGGCTTGCTGTGATATCAGTTGCCTTCTTTTGTTACGCTAAGGAACTCGAATGCCTTACCTAATCACAACTGGTAGTGAGCTCATTTTGTAAATACAAAGATGGTTGTTCGAAGTGGCATTCATGGGTGTTCAATGTCAGTCAGTAGACCATAGTGGCCTGGATGCTTTAATAAGCAAAATTCCTTATTTCTGCACCCCACCCATACATACCTGTGTGATCTTGACCCTGACCAATGATATTTGATATCCCCACTCCCCTTTTCTCTTCTAACTCCATGCTATCAGCATTTTTTGGAAACAAGATGTGGTAGCCAAGACACACTGTTCACACGATCGGCTGAGATCAGTATGAGCACAAACCTCATCAGCTAGGTCTGTCTGGAGTGTAAATAGCACAGTGTAAATAAACAGCTGTAAATTAGCGTGTTATGTCCTGCATACGAAATTGTGTGTTGTTTTGCATTCTCTTCCTTCTGTAGAAGTTTTTCTGTCACAAAATGCTCCAGCTTGTTGGTTGTAGCCCCCCCCCCCCCACTGTGCAGCAAGATGGCAAGAGCTGGAAGTCAGGCTTGTGGGGAGTGGACGTTCCTGCCTATTTATGTAGCCTCTCAGTGCCTAATGAGACTTCTCCAGGTTTTACTTGGCTATTAATTTTTGTGGGTTAGATTCCTGGAACCAGTGTATTTATAGAGCTCCATTCTTTGAGTCACAATTTGAAGCTAAAAGAAATTAAAAATATAACGATTATAATCTGCAGTGGCCCCTTTCTTGTTTTCAGAGTTGTTAACACTTTCTACAGAAAACTTTGAAATTCAGTGTGAATGTAAATCCCTGCTGCACAGGACATGGGACAAATGATGTCTTAGTTTAGCTCAGGTGGTCTCTCTGAAGTTGTTCAGCATAGGGTTATAAAAGACAGTGAAGACAGCCTTTTAATGACAGCTGTTACATTATTTTGCTAAAAATGTTTATTTTAACTTCAAGTGTTACTGAGACTTCAGACTTGAAGATTTCCCCCAAACACCATAACTAGAAACCTCTACTTTTGACATTATTCCATTCTTTTGTATCACACAGAAGCCTTTTGTGCCACTGGATGAGTTCATCATTAACAGTATAGATGACACGCTTGTCGGGTTGGCTTCCGCACTGACGTGCTCTAAGTATTCCATAGTGCACTCCAAAGTGCTGTGGGCATCCTCTGCTCATGCTAGTCAGTCTTTCAGTGCCAGACAAGTGGATGGAGCTTCATCCTTAGGAGAGCTTTGTTAGCAACAGCATGTCCTCCTTCACACAGGTGAGTGCTAGTGATTTTGATGCACAGAGGGAGGAGAGGCTGAGTGTGTGCACAGAGCTTCATCCTAACCTCAGGATGGACCACTCTGGGCTTTCTGCTTTGGTCAGATTTCATAATGTCCTTTGCTGTGAGGTGTAGGTATGCATCATTTCTGTTCTGAAGAGTAAGACAAAGGTTCCATTGAACTGCCTCCCCTACAACATGTCAGCTGTGTGATTGCAGTGTTAAGTCTTGGGTTTGAGTTATTGAAACAGAAGCATATCAGTAATTCCAAATGAAAAATTCCTCATTTTGGAACTCCAGCCCGTGTTTCTGTGAAAGAAAGTTCTTGGGGTTTTTGCATCACTTTGAATACTGACTGAATTAATTAGGTAGTATGTATTACGAAATGAATTAGATTTGTTTGAAGAGTTTTTATATTGAAAAATTTCATTTCTGGCTCAAAATTTGACATGGGAAGAAAATCCAAACTCTTTGGATTAGAAACAATGATGATTCAGTCATAACCACTGTAAAGTCTTCTGTATGGGGAGGGGCAGGCCAGAGCTCACGTTGTTAGCAGGCACCCCTCCAGCCTCTCCTTTTCAGGTTGTGCACTCACTGTGCCGCTGGCTGTGGGAGACAGCATGTTCAGTGATGCCATCCGCACCAGTTAGGGTTTGTGTGGTTTTTCTACTTGCAAAAAAAGTGCTCTTTAAAATAGTCTTAATTCACTTTTTGGCTATCTTGCCCACTATGGTATTTTGGATCCCACTAATAAAATTTAATAGAACACTGGATGTTTATAAAATTTGAGAACTTCATACTGTATTTCAACTAGTTTGAAACGACCTAAAAAATCTAGCCATTTAGAATTTAGGCTTTCTGTTAGTTAACATTTCCCAACTCCTAGCCAGGATCTTCCGAGACAGATTGAAGTCCAGTGGCGTCCATGTGAACCAGCTCCTGGGGCCTCAAAAAGACTCAGAGTGGTGGAGGGGATGAGAGTGTCATTTGTCACACTTTTCCTCGGTGTGCTGCTGCTGTGGGTAGTGACATGCTGAGCGTCATGTTCGGTAACCTGAATGATGTTCTGTGTTTATCTGTACTAAAGTAACTAAACTGATGGACTCTGCAGAGAGCTGTCCTGAACCAGGAGCTTCTGTACCCCTAGGTCCAAGGGCCTTATTCAAGGAAGACGACACGGTGGGGAACCCAAGTGAGTACTTGGCAGTACATTAGCTGTCTGTTGAGTTGGAAACTGGCATAGAGCTTCAGTTTGTGTTTATCAAATGTGAATTCTAGTAGTCTGATGCTGCTCTGTACATACTGTAAGTGCTACAGATAGTCTCAGCACTGACCGTGTATCGATACCTCTCAGATGAATGCAACTTGTTGACGTAGGTGTTGGCTGTGCCTCAGAGAGTCTCTGAGGGCCTGAGAATTTGTTACCCGTTTGCTAGTGGAGATACTTCCTGGTTTTTTTCCTTTGTTGTTACATATTTTCATGTTTTGAATTTAATTTTTACTACTGTTAATTTAAGTAAAATTTGTTCTGTGGATAAAATGGCATTGCCAGTGAAAATGAAAACAGCCTCATTCATGTATCTGCTTAAGTAAAAGCACATTTCTGTTACGTGTTCCCAGACTTTTAATGAAGCTGTATTTCTGTTTTAGTACAAATGAAGTTAGGCTTTTTCTGTTT